TTTTTTTTTTTTTTTTTTTTGAGACCGAGTTTTGCTCTTGTTACCCAGGCTGGAGTGCAATAGTGCGATCTCGGCTCACCGTAACCTCCGCCTCCTGGGTTCAAGCAATTCTCCTGCCTCAGCCTCCAGAGTAGCTGGAACTACAGGTGCACACCACCATGCCCAGCTAATTTTTGTATTTTTAGTAGAGACGGGGTTTCACCATGTTGACCAGGATGGTCTCGATCTCTTGACCTCGTGATCCACCCACCTCAGCCTCCCAAAGTGCAGGGATTATAGGTGTGAGCCACTGTGCCCAGCCATGCAACTTGTAATAAGTAACTAAGGTCTGTAATTTCCACCCTACCCAGGCAATGTGTAAACTAGCGCTTATCTTGACTGCTGTGAACCACTTAAGTAACAATTGAAATGGCCGAAGCCCCTCACCCTCATCTCCACCCGGGAAGTGATTTATGGAATGTCCAAAGTCCACTGGCCCTTGGAATGTCCGAAGCCCCTCCCCCCTACTTCCGCCCCTCCCCCTCACCCCCAAGGTGGTTTATGGGCATAAAAGGTCTTGACACCCTCCTTGCGGGGCCACAAGTTGGAGAGATGTGAGTCCTCCGTGGCCGCTGGCAATAAAGACCCTGCAATTTGGCATACTTTTGTCTTGGTGTTGACTTTCTATGCTCGCTCCAGTACAACAATACTCCAAGAGTATCCCAAAGACATGGAAATGGAATTCGCTACAACTTCCTAGAAGACCAATTACGTATCTCAATGTCAGTTTACTTTACTTTTACTTGATACAAGTATCTATTTATAATCTACTTTCTCCATTGTATCTGTAAATCAGTACTCAGAATAATGTATTTTAAATCCTAGGGCAGATCATTGAGATTTATCGTATTGATTTGGATATTTAGATTATTCCTAGTAAGTTCTCTTCCATCTTTGAATAGTAGTTTCCCTAGAACACCAAACACATTCAGAAGCGGTTCATAGTCCACTCTTCCAACTTCACTGTCTGACTGATACACTACTTAAAGAAAAAGAAAAGAAATAATAAATGTTATTTAAGATCTTATTTTTCCATCTGCTGCCAGAAAAAAGGTGAAAGACAAGGTATTCTTTCGTTTTGGGTAAGATGACAGCTTTCTAACAATTCAAGAAACTGATCACGAACTTTATATAAGTCACCCCTACATCTATGTAATATATGCCCCCAACAGTGTGATAGGGGACCACCCTCTAGACAGAGAATCTCCCTAAAAAAGCCCCCCTTCATTTTGCCACCAAGCTTTCAATTCAAAATTTCTTATATACCTAACCTTTAAGGTTCCTGGGATTCCTTTGTAAAATTGCATTGTACCAAGACAGTGAAGAGGCCGCTTCATAGACCAAAGGGAGGCACATCTCGAGGAGGGATGCTGGTGAGGAACACCAGGGATGCTGGTGAAAGAAGGTAAGTAGAACATAACTGACCTATGAAGATTAAATGGATGGACTGCTTAGTGAAATAATTGTTATGTTAAAAAATGGATGGATTGGGCCGGGGGTGGTGGCTCACGCCTGTCATCCAAGCACTCTGGAGGCCAAGACGGGCAGATCACCTGAGGCCGGGAGTTCAAGACCAGCCTGACCAACATGGTGAAACCTCGTCTTTTTTTAAATAAAAAAAAAGAATGGATGGATTGGATAGCAAAGGTTTTGTCAAAGAATCTGAGAATTTTCTAAGGAAATGCAAATATTTCTGTGTCTAGCAATTTCTAAATTACGTTTTAGCATGTGCTTATATAGACAGACACACACACACACACACACACCCCTTGATTTAGGATTTTAGGATGGCTAACTATCTTTAAGCCATTGAGCGATAGTTTTTAATTATACGTGCTTTTAGTGGTTTGTAATATTTTCCACTTTGTCAGGAGTTTCACTAGAGCTAACATGCATGTAGGAGCAAGTTATGAAAATGGGCCACACCTGCTTGGAAAAGAAGCAAGTCCTTCTTCCAGCAACAAAGCAAGCTTATCATAAAACACAACACCTGAAAAGCTAGTTGGGCTAATTGTGATGCATACTTCAGACACCTACTAGCTCTGCTCCTTGTATCTATATAAAAGTCACTTTTAGAGTGACTTTTTAAAAAAACATGACTTCTGAGTCACCAGAGAAGACAGGATATCATAGCTAACCTGAAAGAAGAAGATCCTGGCAAGGTTAAGGATAGAAAGGAAATATTCTTGTCCTTATGCTTCTCAGTGAGAACTTAAAACTCTCTCCTCAGCAATTCTTAAGGGCTGTTGGCTCTCAGGAGGTGGAGAGTGACCTAGTTTTGAGGATGACATATACAGTATGACATGTTGCTCTTCTGGAAGGAGAAAATATAATTTAAAAGTCAAACATTCAAAACAATTACAAATTTCCACTTCAGTGATTTGAGATATAAGCAGGAGGCTTCACTTAACCTAAATCCATTCACTCATTCAAAAAACATGTGTTGAACACTAACCATGTACTAGGCCCTGTTGCAGGCACTGGAGATACAACAGTGAACTCTCTTTCCATGCAGTTCACATTCTACCGGGGAGAGACAGGCAGGAAAGGAAAGGAAAAGAAGAAAGAAAGAAAGAGAGAAAAGAGAGAGAGAGAGAGGGAGGAAGAAAGAAAGAAAGAAAGATGTGTCTGAGGAAAAATGAAACAGGATTAAGAGGATGGGGAATGATAGATGCTATTTTATGGAGAACTGTCATAATGAGGATAGTGAATTTAGGTGCTATTTGAGCAGAGACCTGAATGGAGGTAGTCAGTCGTGTGACAACACGAAGGAAGACTAGATCTTAGACAGATGGCAAAGCAAGTGTAAAATTCCCGAAGTAGAAACATGCTTGGCTTGTTTGAAGACCATCAGGAAGGCCAGTGCAGTAGAGTGAGGGGGGAAGGGTTGTAGCTAATGAGATACTTGCAGAAGTTGCCGGGTATCTAGAGTCTTACAGGCCAGGGAAAGGACTTTGAAGTACAATGGGAAGCCAGTTGCTTCTGAGGATTCTGCGCAGGAGAATAACCTGATGTGACTTACACAAAGGATCATCTGGTTGCCGTGTGGACAAGAGACTGTTAGCAGCAAAGTGGAATAACTCATTAAAAGAGTACCACTGTAATCCAGACAAGAGAAGATGGCAACTTAGAGTAGTAGCAGCAGATGGTGCTGGGAAGTAATCAGACATATTTTGAATGTAGAGCCAGCATGACCTGCTTAAAGATTGGATCTTGTGTGTGAAAGAAAGTGAGGAGTAGGGATTACCCTAAAGTTTTTGGTTTGAGTACCTAGAAGAAAAGAGTTGTCATTTATTGGAATGGTGATGACTACAGGACAAGTAGATTTAAGGGTGTGTATATGTTGTGCAGTGTGTGCGTGTATGAACTGAAAGATGTGTTATACTCAAGAGGCCTATTAAACATCCAAATACCTAGATTGATCCTGCCACATAGTCGATACTCAATATCTATTGAATGAAAAAGGGAAGACATTGAGTAAGGCAATAGAATTTAAAAATCCAAGTATATCTATCTACTATGAACTTCTCTACATGTCTAAATATATTTACTCTTATGTTTTGCAACCATGAGGGCTCATCAGAATCCTTTACTTTTTGGTCCTGGAAGAGATACTGGAGATCTTCCAACTTACGAATTCCAAAGTAAATTAAGGACCAGAGATTAAGAGACCAGTGATCAAGGTCCAGTGCATTTATGCTACAGCTAGCACCTGACATCAGGCTTTCTGATTCTTAATTCATTGTTCCACACTACAAGCTTTTCTTTCCCCACAAACATTAGTGCTCACTTCATAATGTCTGGCGAACTATTCTTTTCAAGGAGTATATTTAAAGGGTTCCCATTAGAGAAACTGACTAGTTGGAATATATTTTACAAAGCATTGAATGAAAGTGAAAACTGCTATACATGAAGTAGTCATGATTTTTAACCCTCTGGCAGAAAAGTTCATAGACTGGTCAGAAACAGCAATGATATTTAGATATTCATTACATAGATAATAAATATTACTTGACGATTATGTTAGCAAACAATCATATTCTTTGACTAGGTCTGTATAGCTAGAAAAATACTCAACTTATAGTTAGCAAACTTTTAACACGGTATGTTTTTTGCTATAAATAAATAGCTACCTGGTTTTAGTAGAACTTACAGTCTACTTAACTTTCAACAAACCAAGTATTGAGTCTCCACTGTATCAGTGTAATAGACATGGTAGGGAAAAATGAACAGTCTCCTCAAATCAAGTAAACTGACAAAAACAAACGAAAAATAATTCCTAGAAAAAATGCAATTTTTAAAAAAGTACAAACACCTGTTGAGAACTATTGATCAGGTAGTGCTAGAATACGCTAGAATAATTAGATATTTGTGGAATTGTCGGGAAGAGGTTTCCCAAATGAGTGAGTATGGGTTTTAAGATAAGGAATCAGATATGGCAGGCAGGATATTCTACGCTAGGAAAATATGGCACTAGAAGAACTAAAGGGTAGAAGCAGGTCAGTCATGGCATACGTCCACACCCAGGTGTAATAGGACTGGATTATTGTTATTAAGCTAAGGGTGGATGTGGCAACTGAAGAAGAGCTGCAAACACAAGCCAAAGCAGTTTACAACCGACATCTGAAGGCCAACGAATGTGATCAAAACAAAGCATTTAAGTTTTGTTTGGGTTTGCTGCCACATTATAAAGGCAGACTTTACATTCATACTATTTTCTGTATTCTTCAGTGTCACCGTGCTTAAGCGCTTTTTAGACACAACTTTTTAAAAAGTCAAGACACACTCGATCTAAAGAGCAGCCTGTGAGTCAATAAACGGAGAAAGGCAGTAAAGAAGTGATTTCTAACCCCCAATTCTGTGCCAGTGTGCTGTAAACTTTAAGTCGGGAAAGCTGTTTAAATGGATGAGACAATGCCTTTAAAAGTGCTTAGCACAGTGTCTGGCCAATAGGAAGCACTCAAGAAATTATGAGTATTTGACTTCAGACCTCTCTTAACTGTCTGAAACTGGGGTTTCTTATTTTCAGGAAAAGAAACAGGACACAGGCAGTCTCTAAGGCTCCCGCCAGCCGAGACAATCTCCAATTAAAAGCAGGCATCGATTAAATATTTGCTGAACAAAGTAAACCGTCTCTCTATGGCTGAGCTGAGCGCCCACTGAGATCCGGCCCAGAATGGACGCGAAACCTACCCGCGGGTCCCAAACGCCGAGACCAATAGGCGGGGCTGACCGAGGACCTTGTGCGCCACCTCAGCCACGCCCGCGCCGAGCCTTCGTTTCGCCTATGGGTCTGCAGAGACCCTCCCTAGCCAGCCCGGCCGCGTCCCACATCCGCCGGCACGCCCCTTCCGGGCTAAACCCCGCCCATTCGCGCTCCTCGCCCCGCCCCATAGGCCCCGTCCGTGACCCCGCCCCGCCGCGAGCCGGCGCCGGGTCCTCTCAGCGATCGCGGGCGGTCGCGTCCACCCCCGACGCTCTGAGGTCATTGACGGGGCTGGACCGCGGGGGGGCGGAGGGACGGAGGGAAGATGGCGGCAGAGGCCGGATATTGGCGCCGCCTCCCCCAATCCTGGAGCCGGCGCAGATGAGGCAGCTTGGCTGGGGCCAGCGGCGCTTTGGAACCCGAGCTGGGGGGACCCTGGCGGTGGGGCCTGGTCCTGCTATATGCCGGCGCCTCGGCTAGAGTGAGCGGCGGCGACGCCTCTTTTCTCCGGCTCTTTCCCTGTCGCTGCGAGAGCTAGCGGGCGGCTGAGGCGGCGGGGCCGGGATGGAGGACGTTAACTCCAACGTGAACGCGGACCAGGAGGTGCGGAAGTTGCAGGAGCTGGTGAAGAAGCTAGAGAAGCAGAACGAACAGCTGAGAAGCCGCTCGGGGGCCGTTCAGGGCGCCGGCTCTCTCGGGCCCGGCAGCCCGGTTCGGGCCGGCGCGTCCACTCCCTCCTCTGGCGCGGCGTCTCCTCGGGGCTTCCCCTTGGGCCTCTGCGCCAAGTCGGGCGGCGGGGCCGGGTCGGGCCCGAGGCGGACGAGTAGCGAAGAGCTGCGGGACGCCACGTCCTTGTTGGCGGCGGGCGAGGGCAGCTTGCTGGACGAGGTGGAGCCGCTGCGGCCCGACGAGCTGGAGCGTTTGTCAGGCTGGGAGGAGGAGGAGGAGAGCTGGTGAGCGCGGGGCGCGGGGCCGGAGCTGGGCGGAGACGGGTCCGGGGGCGGAGAGCGTCCTCTGAGGGTCCCTCTGGTCGTGCGCCTCGCTTTGTGTAACCGGGTCCGCTCTCCGGTGGGGACTCATGGTTTTTTTGCTTTGGCAGAGGGAAGGTCAGCTGGAGTTGGGGGTTCGAGGCGTGCGCAAGTAACAGGGTTTTAGCTGGTTCTCTGGCTTGTGGACTCTCTGGGTGCTGGATCCTATTGGGGTCTGTCGGTTGGCGCAGCTTGAGAAGGGCTGTTCGCCTGGGGAGGAGTCGGAATTGGGAAACTGCTTTGTAGGCAGGGATCCTGCTTTGTGTAAGATACTGGCTTTCGGATGGTAGCCCTGGGCATTTTGGATGTACGGGAGGGGTCTGCTTGATGAGGTATCACCAGGTGTGGGGGTCGGGGGCAGAACGAAGTTGTCTACGTCTATGCAGTGGTTAGTGTGTGGGACCCATTTCTGTCGGGTATGGGGAGACCGTGTGGATCTGCACCCCCGCTTTGGGGAGTGGGGTAAAGCTTGCTTTGTGTGAAGAGGGCAGAGGATGGTGCTGCTTTGTGTGAAAAGTCAAGGGTGGAACAAGAGCCCTGGCTCTTATTTTCTAAAACAAGAATTGAGTCTGGCGTTTTGCATAGCTCTGAATTGAGTTATCACATCCATCTTTCATTTCCACGTCCTCCTAGGGGCAGAGAAAAAGAGTCCTATTTTACACTCTAAACCAAAGCTGTATTGTCATAAGCTACTTCTTTATGAAATTGTGATCCACACCTTAATAATCACTTTCGTAAATAGAAGGGACATGGGAGGCTTTCCCTCTCATTTTATTATAAAGATGTCTGTGGGAAATTACTTCTCTTAATTCTTTTTTTTTTTTTTTTTTTTTTTTTTTTTTTTTTTTTTTAATTTTTTTCTTTTAGCTAAAATGTCTCTGTTAAAATTAAAACTTCTAATTTAGTGAAATACTCTGGTATTGTAGGGCTGGGACTTTGCAGTGTTCTGAGGTTAAGAGCTTTCCTGGATTCAGGCCCTGGTTTTGCCACTTACTAACTGTATGACCTTGAGCAAGTGACTCTGAGCCTCACTTTGTTCTTCTATTTGATGGAGAAAATAATAGCACTTACCTCCAGAATTATGAAAATTTAGTAAGATAATCCATGTATGCATTTAGCACTGGATCTGGCATGTAGTAATCTCTAAAACTAGCTAGTATTTGTTCGCAAACCTAGTTATTTAAATCAAGAAATATTTTGTGAGCTTTTACATGATGATGTAGGAGATGCTGAAGATTGTGTTGATATGTGCTCATAAGGCAATTATAGTTTTGTTGAGAACTAAGTTTTGTGCAGTTAAATAAACTGGAAAGTGTACAGTGAATTACCGAAAGAGTGGTATAACAAAAAGTACTGACCGTGGTCTGTAACTGGGAAGAAAATAGTAGTCCAAAGTAGTTGGACCAGACTTTGAGGAGGAGGTGACTTTGGAGTCAGTGACGAAAGAGCGGGAAGGGCATTTTATGCTCTGACAGCTACAAGAGCACAGTCGGAGGTATTTGTAACTCCCAGTTAGAAGATGTGAGTAACGGAAGTACTCTTGAGTATATAATGACAAGCCTTTATTTTATTACCACGTGATATCAAATATTAGAGCTGACTATTGTAGTGACAGTTTTTTATATAAATGTGAAATTATATTCTCCCAAAGGAATCCTGGGTATGTATGCACTTGAAAAGAACCCAGAATCATGTAAATATTGTCACATGGCTCTTGCAAGTGATGATAATAATGATGCTCATAATAATGAAGATTAGCTGCACTCATCAGCCCGTTTTAGATTATATATTATTAGAACACATTGAGTCTACTTGGAGAAGCCGATTAAGTCTTTGGCTGCTTTTGTTCCTGAGCATGAGCTTCGTTAAGGTAAAGCAAGTCTTCCTTAAATACTATACCTGGAGTTTCTTTTGACTAGATGATTCCTGCTTACTGCTTTGATCCTAGCCTCATATCTTGATATTATAGATGTCATATATTTTTCCTGAGATTTGTGTGACCCGAAAGTTGGATAAATCATTTAAAATGCATTGGGGTATGTGTTTAGGGTAAAAGTTGTAAAGGGAGAATGTCAGTGGCAGGAAGATTCAAAGTCGATTTTTTTCTTAGCAAGCTAAAAATCTACCTTCTGTAACTTCTAGTTGTTGCACTTCCTTTTTCATCTAGAGGAATGAAATTCCTTGGATGTAGAATTCCTCCCAAGTTTGTGTGCCACAAAGTGCTAGTTCTGAAGATGTCTATAAGTGCTATGTAGAAAAAAAGTGGATGGGTTCCAGGGTTGAATAAATGCAAGAAAAACTGGGTTCAGCAAAAATAAACAGTTTTCTTTAATGCTGGGCTCTTGGAAATGCTAGTGTGTTCTGAACATAGTAAATCTCTAGAGAGTATGGTTTGGTCCTAAACTTAATTGAGCTCCCAAGGAGCTAGTATCTTATAGAACACACATAGAAAACAGTGCTCTACAGCAGTCACTTTCACACTTTTTTTTTTGGACTCAGCCTCATGATAAGAAATACATTTTAACTCATCATCTAGAATTTACATGTATATGAATAACTGAAGCAAAAGTTTCACAAAATTATGATTACTTCTACAAGTGATATGCTTTGATATTTTCCATTCTATTCTGTTTCATTAGAAAAAAATCCTGGTTACTACCCAGCTAAGCTGATTTTGTAAGCCATTAATGAGTTGCAATTCTCACTTTGAAAAACACTGTTCTAGAATAACTCAGCAAAGTCTAGGGAAGAGAACTAACATCATTGTGTATCACAGTGTGTCGGTCTGTGCCATGCAGCTTATAAGTATTTTTTGCCTCTAATTTTATACATTTATGAGGTAGGTATCATTTTCTAGGTAAGAAACCTAATCTCTCTCCAGACATGAAATAACACACAGTAAATGATAGCATCAGGATTTGAATCCAGGTCTTTATATATCATAGCCTGTGCTGTTCCCACTGTATTTTGCTTTTTCCAAGTATTATTTTTTCACATGAATGGCCTCTACACATATTTGAAGACTACTATAGTGTCACTGCTGATCCTTTCACCCTGCCATATACTGTGAGCATTCCCTTCTCTTCTTCAGAGTAAATAATCCCAGTTTGTTTTATCATTCCTTAGATAATGTAATTCTCTGATCTTCATTGTTATTTTTTTTAATTAACTATAAATTGCTCATTGTCATTATACATGGTTCCCAGAGTTGTACCCAGCATTGTAGGTGATATTTGACCAGATGGAGAGTGTGGTGGGTATGAGCCAAATGCTCTTTTTTTTTTTTTTTAAGACGGGGTTTCACCATGTTGGTCAGGCTGGTCTTGAACTCCCGACCTCAGGTGATCCGCCCGCCTTGGCCTCCGAAGTGCTTGGATTACAGGCGTGAGCCACCACACCTGGCCAAATGCTGGTTTTTTTTAAATCAAATACTTCATTGACAGTTTTAACTTCTGTTACTCATGCTTAATATGAGCCTGAAGTATCAACTTCTCTCCTGTATATTTTATACATAAGATGTTATACTGAGTCTTCATAACCTTGTTTTATTTGGTGGATTTTTTTAAGCTTAAATATAAGGCTTTTATTTTATTTATTTTTATTTTTTTAGATGTGCTTAGATTAAATATGGGCTTTTAAATTTCCTTTTTTTTTTTTTTTTTTTTTTTTTTGAGACAGAGTCTTGCTGTGTTGCCAGGCTGGAGTGCAGTGGTGCAATCTCTGCTCACTGCAACTTCCACCTCCTGGGTTCAAGCAATTCTTCCACCTCAGCCTTCCAAGTAGCAGGGACCATAGGCGTGTGCCACCACGCCTGGCTAATTTTTGTATTTTTAGTAGAGACAGGATTTCACCACGTTGGACGAGATGATCTTGACCTCATGATCCGCCCACTTTGGCCTCCCAAAGTGCTGGGATTACAGGCGTGAGCCACCACGCCCTGCCCCTTTTGTTTTTATTTAGACATTTAATATTATCCTTTCTGATTTATTTGGTCTTTACATTTGGTAGGCATACCTGCTGTCTTCATTCACATTGTTGATAAAAATATTAAATTGGCAATAAATTACCCTGAAGTGTGCACGTCAGCTAGACTCACTCTATATTAACGCCAGTCCATTAATCAGCACACATTATGGTTGTTCAGTAACTACTAATTCTATCATCGTCAGGCCCATGTGACATTTTGGAGGTTACCATGAAAGATTTTGTGTGCCTACAAGATTCTTACCTACAGTGAAGAATACTGCATTACTATTACTAACCTATTAAAATAGCCATTGCAGTTGATTTGGTTGGACTTGTTAATGGTCAGTCTTCTAGCTAGCGTTTCATGTATCCACTTTTCCTTTCTTAACTTCACAAACTTTTTTTAATCCAATTTTGAATTTTGCAAAATTAATTTGGTCTGGACTTTGTAGACACTGCCTATTTTTCTCTTTAGAAATTATTGTATTTCCTTTTATCCAAACTTTTGATCATGCCCGTGTTCACCGTGATATTAGTGATAAAATTTCTGTTTTTTCCAAAATTTGGAGTGATATACCTAAGCCCATTTCAAGCTACATTCTGGTTCGCTAGGTCAATTTTATCTTAGGTTTATGAAGACACTTTAAACTCATACTGGGCTGGACGTGGTGGCTCGCGCCTGTAATCCCAGCACTTTGGGAGGCCAAGGTGGGCAGATCACGAGGTCAAGAGATGGAGACCCCAACATAGTGAAACACTGTCTCTAAAAAAAATAAAAATAAAAATAAAGAAAAAAAATTTTAAAAAACCTCATACTGACTTCTCATAAGTAACCTTTGTTGATAAATGTCCCAATTCAGAGCTGGGTAGGTTTGTGGTTTTTATTCTTTTTTGTCACGTGGCTCTTCACTGCTGAGAGTTAATTTATCACATGACCTAATGCTTTTTGTAGAGGACCA